CAATATATTCTAAAATGAAATGGAGATCTTTTTTAAAGGTTAAAAACTCATTCAATTTTATGTCTTACAGGGCTTATACTGAGTTCGATATTGTACAACTGTATTAATTCAACAGTGAACCTATAAATTTTATAACCACTTTTGAAAGAGCTGTATCTTTGCTCTGGAAACTGTTATTGGGCATGTTAAAGCTGTAATGGTATGCTTCTTCTAAAAAAAATATTAAAAAAATATATTTTTAGTTTTAGCCGGGCATGGTGGTGCACACCTTTAATCCTAGCACTCAGGAGGCAGAGGCAGGTGGATCTTTGTGAGTTCCAGGCCAGCCTGATCTACATGGTGAGCTCCAGGCCAGCTGGGGCTACACGGAGACCCTGTCTGGAAAAAAAAAATACTTTTAGCAACATGTGATATTTCAGAACTTGTATACATTATGTAATTTAAAATTTCCAAAGTTTACAAAATTATCTAAAAATGTTACTATTTATTGAATTTTGTAAAAAAAAATAATAAAAAAATAAAAACAAAAAGGAAATTAATCCATCATTTTCTCTGAACTTTGTTTACTTCAGTCTTTCTCCTAACCTCTTACGGGCAATAGCACTCCATTTGCATTATTTGTGCAATTGCCAGGGTTAATTTTTATTTTTATTTTTGCTATTTATTTGAAAAAAGAAAATGCTTCAGTCAATTGCTTTTTTATCTAAAAAAAGAAAAGAAAAAGGAAAGAAAAGGAAGAGAAAAAGGAAAGGAAAAAAAGCTGTAACCTTATCATTTCTGAGTAGACCACTGAGAGATGAATGCACACCTGTCATAGCCCAGGTCCAGCTTTAGTGGCTGAAGGGAACATTTTAAATAGCAAGATGCTCTGTTCCAAACATGGCATATGTTGGGTCCAGATAAAATGAGGGTTATCAGCCAACTGATAGTTATCACTGAGGTTCACCAATGAATTTGTATATTTTTAGTTCCCCTCGGTGAAGAGGAAAAATGATGATTTTGCCAAGACCTAGATTTTGGCTTGGTTTCTTGTCTCGTTTTTTGGCAGCCTTCATCTTCTAAAGATGAAGGGCCTGTAGGGTTTTCATAGTGGACAAAGGACTTGTGGTATCTTAAAACTGGGGTGGACTTGGGGGTCCAAAGTATAGTGTTCTAACATTTTAACAGTGACTAATTTTTAAGTTAACCCAGTCCTCTCAATTTTTAGACCAAACAGATGCCCACAGTGGAGGCTCACCAAGGGTTGTAATGAGGAGGAAGCCTTTCCCTCACTGTCAGCACCAGATGGTAAAGGTGACTGTGCAGATGTGCATTTTCCTTTTGGTAGAAATGGTCCACAGCACTAACTGATAAGGCTTATTGTACAGTATATTGTCAGGACTCTTCTGGTTTGACATACGTTATAGTTCATATATAATCTGTATTAATTGTATAGATTGTGCATTTAAAGCTGTTACCAAGTTGTCAGAACATAAGAACGAAAACAGGTCATATGTAATATTTTGTTTCTAAGTATCCTTTGTATCATAGCAAAGGAAAAGTTTTAAAAAAAAACTGCAATAAACTAATTTTAGTACAAAAAATGTTTACTAATTTCATACATTATACTTTGATTATATTCATCCTCCCCCTTCTGTATCCAACCAACTTTATGTCATCAAGCCCAATTTGTGGACTCTTAGGTGACCATCCATTGGAGAAGGGTGGTCAACCTACCAGGGACCATACTCTTAAAATTAACTCTCTCTCTCCCAAGAGCTATCAAGAGCCAATACTCAGCTGGGTAGGACTCAGGCAGCATGACACATTCTTAAATGACATCATTTAACTATAAAGAAGAAAATTATATTTTTACCATCTATTCTGGAGAACATTTTATAAACTGTGCACATATATAAGCTATAAAAATAGAAAATATACCTACATATAAATAACACCTACTTGGCTGCACACAAATATAATACAGCAAAAGCCCAAGACAAGCAATAGCTTGTTTTTTGGAACTCATGACTTTTTCTGACTGCTTTCAGGCTTACACGCAGCCTCCTACACCTTGCCCCGTGCTTTCCAAGCCCTTCGCATTGCAGCATATGTAGAAGGTGGCAATACTTAAAGCGCACACCAGGAGAATGAAAGCAGGTATTTTCTTCTGTAAACAATCAAGCTGCTACACAATCCACTTACACTTCTAAGTGATGAAGGGAATGCTAGCAAAATTTTTTTAAATTTCATTTTTTATTGTTCGAGAATTTCATACATGCAAATAGACTTTAATAAAATCTATCTTCCTTCCCTCCCCTCCGACTCCCTCCCCCACATTTTTAGGTAACTCATTTATAGCACTAGACAATGCTTATTATCAGTTGGTAAATTCTCTTTTCACTCATCACAGAAAACAATTTCAGTAAGAGTATTTCAAAAAAAATATTTCCAGGAACACATAAACGTTTTTTAAATTATAAAATGAGAGACTGAGGAAGTGTAAGCAGAAAAGATAGAATGAGAGAATAAGATAGGAGACAGGAGCTAACATGAGCTTCCCGGGACTTTACCGCTATAATACATTTTTCACTGTTCTGATGAAAATATTCTTTAATTCTATTTGGAAGAATGCTGAGAGTAAGCTGCTTTAATGGAGTAGCTGAAGAGAACAAAGAGGGGAAGTTTGTAGTTTAATTTCCTGAGTCCCTTCATTTGAAGAATCCAGGGTTTGTGATTAGGCTGCCACCTGTCTATCCCACGGAGGTACTGAAGAAAGAAAGGAATCATTAAATTGGTTCAGTTGTAGACCTGTTATCAGCCAAGCTTATTTGATCACAAGATCATTCAGCTGACACCCACAGCTCTTTCCTCACAGGTGCTTAGCTGTTTAGCTTCCTGACTACCCAATGCCAAACACTTCAAGCCATTTAGAAGTGTGATATCTAAAATACTCTGATATTCTGTCCCAGCTTTAAAGCTCCCAAACACACTCAGGTTGTACTGAGAAGATAAGAGGGCTCAGCACTAACTCCTCAGTATATATTATGGGAAAAGGCAGCTTAGGCTATTGAGAGTTAAATCGAAGACTTTCACTTTCATCCATAGGAGAGAAAACAAAACAAACTGTATATGTTATAGGAAAAAAATCAAAGCAGATTATTATAGATTATGATGAATTACAAAGGAAAAAGACTAAAGGATCAAAATTAATTTTAATGTAAAAAAATGTACAACCTCTTATGTCATTTCATAAAATGCTTACATTTATGTGGAAATACTATGGAGGCCTTGAGATTAGACAGATTTTAATCTAAATTCCAGTTCTATAACTCATTTTACAAAATTAAATTTACCAACTATATTGCAATATTATTAACTAATCCACAGGATCAGAAAAGTGAGTTTAGGTACATATATTTAAATAAACATTGCCTAGTTTTTCTTTTCTTTCCTCCAAAATATGAGGCAGAGCAAATGACTTGTCTATAATTTGAGATTTATCGGAATTTGTTGTAACTATGTCATTTTTCACCCAAGGCTCTTAACAATACAAGGAAAGGAATTCCTCTGAATCAACTACTGAGACTAACAAACAGCAAAAAGCAAGATCGACCTGGTATATTCTAAGTCAGTGTTCCATGACAACGGTGACAAAGGCAATATTCATTATACTCACTCTCTTCCAGCTTCAAAGAAACTGAAGGGTTGTTTCCTGTTTCATCCACATTTCCTTCACCACCTCCTCTAGATCTTGAGTTCCAGACTTTGATGACTTCAACATCATTGTCACTGCCACTTCCACTTGAGCTACTATCCTTTTTCCCCCTTTTCCCCTTTGTTTTCTTCTTTCTAAAACAAGAAAATTAATGTTAGGAAAGCACATTAAGAATACAAAGCCAATTATTAGAAGACAACCCGCAAGCTAGGGGCTTTTAAATGTAGCAATACAGGTAACAAAAGTACTCAATTTACTTTGCATACTCATCTGAGCTTAAGCTCATAGAAGTTTCATCGGAATCTGAAGCTATAAATTCATCCATACTATCTTCATCAAAATAACCCTAGAGGAAACAAAAAGACAAATGTTTTAGTATCCCATTTCAACATATATTGGAAATTCAAATGTTCTGTTTCGCTTAAGGTAAGGACTGGAAATAATGAAGGACTAAGGAACTGTGAAGCTTAGAGGAAACCATGGAAACATGACAGTATTATGCAACAGGAGGTCCTGGAAGGGCTGGTGGAAAAGAAAAATAGAAGCATGATGAAATCTGTTGTCTACTGTACCAAAGTTGGTTTCTTAGTTCTGATAAATTACGACAGCTATATAAAATGTTAACATTAGGAAAAATTGAATTAAAAGTATAGTGATACTCATTGAGCCATTTTTGTAATCTTTTTATAAGTACAAAATTGTTTCAAAATAAAAAATTAAGACAAGTTCTCAAGGCCCACACTGGCCTTTCAACTCTGGATCTTAACTGCTTCAGCCTTTCAAGTTCTGAGATAACAAATGTGTGTCACCACACACGACAATTTTCTTTGTTTTTCTTTTGGAGGAAGGTCTTCATGAAGTCTGGGCTAGCCTTGAACTCATTATGCAGCCAAGGATGACCTTCAAATTCTGATCCTGTCTCCATCTCCCAAGTGCTGGAATTGCACACGCATGCCTCCATGCCTGGTTTATATAATGCTGGAGAATAAACTCAGGACATCATGCAGAGTAGGCAAGCACTCTACTAACAGAGCTACATCCCCAATCTAATTTTTAAATTTTTGCTTATTTTTTAGTATGTGTTTGTGCTGCTGGGGATCACATCAAGGGGCTGGGGATCATATAAAGGGCCTGGTGTGTAACAGCTAAGCATTCAACTACTGAAATATGCCTCTAGCCCTCTAAAAAGTTAAATGGGCAATACAAGATCATCTTGGTTGGGCTCAAATCCCAGCACATAAATAGTTATTTTTTTCCAGTGCAAAACAGTTTAGTAAGTTGTCAAATATACAGTTATTAGAATTATCTAAATATCACTTATAAAACTTGGTACAGCACATGAGATGATTATAGAAAATAAAAACACAAATTACACAGTGACAATAACCCTTGTAATACAAGAATATCCCCATATCAATAGTACAAATTACAAACACTAAAAAGAGAAAAGTAGACATAAGACATTTAAATCAAAGTACATCAAATACAAGATGTTTAGCATCAGAGCCCATAGTCACTGGAAACAGTTTTAGGTAGAATTTCACATGTTCTCTTAAGTTTATCCAGTACAGTTCACATAGTAAAGTCTGTGAATGCATAAACGACTATTTAACAGTCTATAAGCATAATGAATTCAAGACACACAGAAATAAGCTAGGCATGGTGGAACACATCTGTAATCCCAGCACTCAGAAGGCAGAGGCAAGAGGCAAGGTTAACCACAAGTTGGAGGCTGACCTAAATTTAAGGCCATCCAGGACTATATAGTGAGAGCCTGTCTCAAGGACAACAGAAAAGGCATAGAAATGAACTAAAAATAAATGTTGAATTAATGAAATAGAAAACTGCTTCAAGTATACAGAATGTCAAAAACTGACCTTTTTGCCTAGAAAAAGGGATAGAGTTTAAACAATTTGAGGTATCTATTTTACCTTATTTTCTTTGCTAATGTAGTCCAGCTGCAAACACCAAGGATGAGTCCAGATTCTACTTAACATCTGGAAATCTTGGAAGAGCTTCGCACCTGCCTTTCCTCTTCCACCTTCACTGCTATTACCTACACCTGGCCAAAAGAAAAGGCAGTTGAAGACACAGAATTCTCTATTTCCACTGTGGTGACTCTATATTAGATGATCTATAACACAGACCCTTTTCTAAGTTTGAAAAATCTTATAAATCTTGCTTCTTGTGATTAATTTTTAAATACAAGAAATAAGATTATTGATGAAACCCACTATACAGAAATGATTAAAATATTAAAGAACAAATATATCATAAAGAAATACATGTGATTTAGGTTTTCATTGAGATAGTCTCATATAGTCAAGCATAGCTTCAAATTCCTGATCCTCCTGCTTTGCCCTGTGAAGTGCTGGAATTACAGGTGTACACCACCACACTCAGCAACATAGGCAATTTTTAAAAATAACACATCAAGTAAAAAGACAATAGAGGTAAAATAACTAAAATTTTGAAATCTGACAAATGTAAATGACTTAGAGAATCAATAACAATTGTGTTGATATTTTCTGATTTCTATTCACAAAGTCATAATTATTAATACAACTATAATTTGCTTCCTATATCACATGAGGGGGAAAGGCTGGCATTTTAGAGGTTACTAAAAATACATTTTTTAAAAAAGTTTTTTAAAATCTCCTAAATTGCATCCACTGTCTCTAGATTACAACTCCCATTACAGATAAAGCCTTACTCCATAGAGATAGTTCTCTGACAATTCTTATCTATGATGATTACAAAAATTAAAGTTTTACTGTAAAAAATACAAATGAGAAGGGGAGAATATGTCAGGCAAAGAAAGATAAATACCTCATGATCTTGCTATTATGGGGAATCATAAATTTTAAAAAAGTAAAAACCTGAAATCCATAGAAATACAGGAGAATGATGATTGCCAGAATCGAGGGGTTGGAAAAAACAGAGATGGAGATCAAACAGTACAAAATTTTAGTTATGTGAAATAAATATTCTATAGGCATAAAAATGATCACGAGGACTTTAGTTAATATTATACGGTAAATCTGCTAAGAGTGCATTTTAGGTACTTTCATCACACACAAAATGTATGAAAAATCAAAAATTGGTAATTTTTAAAAAATTTTTTATGTGTATGAATGTATGGCCTGCATGTGTGCAAAGTGCACCATGTCATACAATGCCCGTGGAGATCAGAAGAAAGCGTCAGATTCTCTGGAACTGGAGTTATAAACAGTTATTAACCACCATGTGCTGGGAACCGAACTCAGGATGGCAGGGGAGCTAAAATTTCCTTTATCTAAATGACTCACACATAGTAGAGTTAGTATTTGTGAGGAACTTAAATCATAAGACAATAAACTCATATCCTACTGAAGAGTACTAACAATTATTATTGGAGCATTATAACTATAATTACAGATAGCAGTAATGTACTGTTGGCTGTAAGCATTATATATTATATGCAGCAGCTCCTAAAGTCCTGGAAATCATCAATGACTTTAGAAAGTTGACCTGGACATCATGTGAGTGGACTGACCACTAAGAATCTAAAAATAGGGGGCTGGAGAGACGGCTCAGCGGTTAAGAGCACTGGCTGCTTTTGCAGAAGACCGGGGTTTGATTCCCAGCATCCACATGACAGCTAACAACCATCCGAAACTGCAGTTCCAGCAGACTCTGATGCCCTCTTCTGACCTCCACAGGCATTGCATGATAAAGGACACTTAAATACATGCAGGCAAATCACTCATACACCTAAAAATAAAATTAAAAGAGCCCAAATAAATGACATAATGGTACAAATCAAGAATCTGGAAAGACAAGAACAAATCCAACAGAAAAGAAACAATAAAAATCAGAACAGAAACCAAGAAAACAATACAAAGAATCAATTAATTTAAGAGCTGGTTCTTTGAAAAGATAAACAAGATAGACAGACCCTTAGGCCAAAGAGAAAATCCAAACCAACAAAATTAGAGACAAAAGGAGAACCATCAAAACAGACACCAAAAAAAAAAAAAAAAAAAAAACAAGAACACAGTAAGGGAATACCTTAGAAACCTATACTCTACTTTAACCCCAGCACTCAGGAGGCAGAGGCACATGGATCTCTGAGTTCAAGGCCAGCCTGGTCTACATCATAGTGAGTTCTAGGACAGGGGCTACAGGGAGACCCTGTCTCAAAAAGACCAAAAAAAAAAAAAAAGAAACCTATACTCTATTACACTCGAAAATCTAAAAGAAATGGACAAATTTCTAAATTTACTGAAATCACCAAAGATAAACCAAGAAAAGATCAACAGCTTAAACTGACCCATAACAACAAATAAGGATATTGAAACAGTAATATTAGGTCTCCTGACCAAAAAAAGCCCAGGCCCAGATGGATTCTCAGCAGAATTTTACCAGACCTTCAAAGATCTACAACCAATACTACTTAATCAAAAAGACAGAAACAGAGGGGAACTCCTTCTATAGAAACAGAGGGAAAACTCCTCTACAGAGGGGAATTTTCCTTCTATGACTCCAGTGTTACTCTAATACCAAAATCAGGAAAAGACGGAACAAAAAAACAACAGGCCCATATCCCTAATAAACATAGACACAAAAATTCTCAACAAAATACTCGCAAATCACAGACACACATCAAAAATATTATCCACCATGATCAAGTAGGCTTTACTTCAGAGATGCAGGGATGGTTCAATATAGGCAAGTCAATAAACAGAATAAATCATACAAATGGACTTAAAGACAAAAATCAAATGATTATCTCAATAGATGCAGAAAAGGCCTTTGAAAAAATTCAACATTCATTCATGATAAAACTCCCAGAAGGAAGAGGACTGAAGGGAACATACCTCAACATAATTAAGGCTATATACCACAAACCCATAGTTAACAGCATTTTAAATGAAAAAAAAAAAAACCTAAAAGTACACCCATGAAAAGCAGGAAGCACACAATACTGTCCACTATTTTCCATTCCCGTCCAATATAAGTGCTTGAAACGCTTGTGGGAAAGCAAGAGGTCAAATTATCCTTATTTACAGATAATATATTATACACAAAAGTTTCCAAATAGTCCAGCAAAAAAATTCCAGAAATAAAAAATACTTTCAGCAAAGTGGCAGGTTATAAAACCAATTTAGAAAAATCAGTAGTCTTTCCATATAAAAGTAACAAGATATCAGAGAAAGTATTCAAGCAAACACTTCTTTCTATTCACAATAGCCTCAAAAAAAAATCTAGGGATAAACCTAACCAAAGGCATCAAAGACCTCTTCAATGAAAAGCTTAAAGACAAAAATTGAGATTGAGGAAGACACGAGGAGATGGAAAGGCTTCCCCTACTCATGGATTAGTAGAATAAATATTGTGAAAATGCCCATGCTACAAAAGCAATTTACAGATTCAAAGCAATCCCAATAAAAATACTCATCATACTTCACAGAAATAAAAAAATTCATCCTAAAATTCATATGAAAACACAAAAGAACCCAGATAGCAAAGAAATCCTTAGGACAAAGAACAATGCTGAGAGATTAATATACCAGACCTCAATCTGTATTACAGACCTATAGTTATAAAACAGCACAGTATTGGCACAAAAAGAGACTTGTAGATCAATGGCGCAAAACAGAAGACCAAGTCATCAGTTCCCGCAATGAAAACCACCTGGTATCTGACAAAGGTGCCAAAACTTCATACTGAAGGAAAAATAGCATCTTCAACAAATGGTGCTGGCAAAACTGTATCTCCACATGTAGAAGAATGAAATTAGACCCATAATCATCAACCTGCACAAATGCCAACTCCAAATAAATCAAAGACCTCAAGGTGAAGCCTGAAATGCTGAAACAGAAGAAAATACAGGCAGTACCCTGCAAGATATAGGTATAGGAAGGTACTTTCTAAATTGAACATCAGTCACTCAAGAATTAAGGTCAACAATTGGCAAATGGGGCCTCATTAAACTAAAAAACTTCTATAAAGCAAAGGAAACAACCAATTGAGGTGAAGAAGCCCACAGAGTGGGAGAAAATCCTCCTCAAGTTATTTACCCAACAGAGGATTATTTTCCAGAATATACAAAGAACTGGAAAAACAAAGAAAACAAATAACCCAATTAAAACATGGTCTATGGATCTGAACAGAGAGCTCTCAAAAGAAGAAATATCAATAGCTAACAAACACCTTAAAAAGTGTTCAATATCCTTAGTAATTAGGGAAATTAAAATCAAAACTACTTTTTAAGATTTCATCTAACCCCAGCCAGACTGGCTAAGATCAAGAGAAGAAATATCAAATGCTGGTGAGGTACAGTGGGGTGAGATGTGAATGAGGGAGGGGATCTAAATACCATCAAATTATATTGTATAAAAATTGCAAAATTTTCAAGAAAAAAAATTTTAAGTAAAAACTTTTTAAAGAAATTCTAAAAACAAATACAAAAAAACATAACTGAGAGTGTGGTGGCACAAACCTATGATCTCCACACTTCAGAGGTAGCACCAGCACCATCCCAATCTGCCTGGGATTCCTGAGACCAGCCTCCTTCCCGGGTAAGTCTGACCATGCCCACTGCTCTAGACTCCCACAACCTGATTCAATCTCCCAGCTCCCACACCGCTTTCTCCTTCCAACAGAGGCCCACTTCTGCTCTTAGCACCCCAGACCTCTGGACTAACCTCTTGGCCCAGATCCCCCCACTGGTTCCTGATCCTTTGCACCCAGACCAACCCAATTCTTCAGTCTAGCTCCCCAGAGACCTCACAGCCTGCTCTCACCAACTTGCCTTTGCACACCCAAGACCAGTCTTCTTCCCTGGCTGTCCCCCCATGCAGACCCCTCACCACCAACTTCCCAGTGTCCTGATAAGGCAGACAGACCTGCTCAGTGAAGACTCTGACCAGTCTACTACTCAGCAAGAACTTGAAATACCCATCAATTTGTCTTCCATACCTAAACAAAAAGTAACTAAGCTACATAAACAATATTAACAGAACCAAAATTAAATTAAACAATGCAGAGAAGTTCCTGTAGAAAATGTAACCAACAAAGAACATCCATATGCCCAAACGACAAGGCAAAAACACAAACAATATAAAAAAAAAAAGACAGGAAAATATGTCCCCAACAAAACCCACAAGTCCTGCAGAAATACACAGCACTGAGAACCACTCTGAAGAACCCCAGGATGCACAGTTTAAAAGAACAATCATAAACATGATCAAAGAACTTCAAGAAAACACAAACAACTCAAAGAACTCAAATTAAAACTCATCAGAAGAGATAAGGAGGGTTATTTCATTCTAATCAAAGGAACAATTGACCAAGAAGATACTACAATCATAAACATTTATGCACCAAACTCTGAAGCACCCAATTTCATAAAATCAGTAGTCCAGAACTATAAAACAGAGATTGGCACCAACTCAGTGATAGCGGGCAACTTTAATACCCTACTTTCTTCAATAGACTGGTCAACTGGACAAAGAATAAATAGAGAGACATCTGAATTAAATGACATACTATATGAAATGGACCTAAGAGATATATACAGAATATTCCACCCTACCACCAAAGAATATACTCTCTACTCAGCAGCTCATGCAAGTTATTTTAAAATTGACCACATTCTGGGGCAAAAAACCAATCTCAACAAATACGAAAAAACTGAAATAATTCCATGCCTTCTATCAGACCACAGTGCTAGAGGCAAGGGTCTTCCACTGTACATTTCTGCTTCAGTTTGTTTTTAGAGTTTAGATTTCTTTTGACAGTTTTATTTTTTAGTTATAAACACTGCAATTTTACATATACTGACTTTATTCAAATGTAAAAATGAAAAATGAAAACATGGGAAAATTACCAAGATAGCATTCTTGAGGAAAACAACATATTTATTTATAAAGATGATTAAGACAATGAAGTATATGTGTTACCTGTTAAGTGATCTAAGTAGTACTGATAGAGCTTGCATTGGATAGCAGTCATTCTCACAGCTAACACATATTCATGTTTTGGAGGCAAAAACTTTGTTAATGCTGTATAATCTTTCCTCTGTAATTAATAAGACAAAGAATGGAAATTAGTTACCTAAATGTGTAACAGGAATGAACTGCTTCAAGAACTGTCACTGATTAAACTTGAAAGATACATATAATCACCATTCTTATACCCTCTCAAAGCATACAATGATAGACATATGATTATGCTTAATGAATTTCATGTGACAGGATAATATGGTACATTGGTCAAAAGATACTACAACATGCCAGCCAGGTTTTAAACTGAAGTGACCATTCAAGTTTTCAAGATAGCTTTCTCCACATAGAAAAAAGAAACTATCAAAAGATGGGGATGGTATGTAGTAGGTAGTACTAGGAAAACTCACTTGCTTTCCACATAGTTAAACGTTATAAATCAAAACTCTAATGCATACCTATGATCCTAGTAGTAGGATCAAAGGTTCCAGGCCAGCCTGGTCTACATAAGTAGAACCTGTCTCAAAAAAAGGCCACAGAACACACACACACACTAATGCAATCTGAGTTATATGCCAAACACTCACTAACACATAACTTCAAAAGCAACATTTGCCCCTCTGAGAATATAAGCCATGTACAAAAGATGAAACCATTTTATTATAGGGACAGGGAAATTAAGTACTAAAATGCTAAACACAAACAACTATTTAAACCAGAATAACACTGCTGTGTAGTAGCAGCAATACAGAAAGAGACTGCTTAACAGTATACAGAGTCAACCTGATAAAACAAGGTAAGTAACTATTTTACATGGTAGCAGTATAGTCATCCAAAAAACCCAGCCTGGGTGACTCTGGAATATCTTTGTAGCTATCTTCTGCGTCTAGTGTTTGAGAAGGAAGTGTGGATCTTAAAATGTATGAACTGATAGCTCAGTCTCTACATACTTACCTATCCATAAGTGTAGATTCACTGACAGTCTCTACGTAAAAAAGAAAAAAACTACTAGCCTGTTCAGTATATACCTGAAAGAAATAAAATTGCTTCACAAAATGTGTGTGTGTGTGTGTGTGTGTGTGTGTGTGTACACCACAGCACATATGTGGAAGAAGTCAGAGGATAACGAACAACTCTGGGAACAAGTTTTCTCCTTCCACCTTAATAAATAAACAAACAAATAAATAGCTCTTCATTTAATTTAATAATTTCAAACAGTGAAGTTCTGAATACCATACCACAGAATGGGCATACATAGTAATTTCTTAGTCATAATACCTGTGCTTTTCTTCAGAACCTCCTATCCTAAGGAAAAAGAATATAAATAGCAATACAACAAAATATGAAGCAAGCGGATTAATCAACTGTGTTTCCTAAACTTTGAATCTTTTTTTTTTCAAAATGTGAATGGTGCATAAATTTTTAAATTAATACAGAGATAATTGTAAAGTTATATACTGAGAAGGGAGAAAGAAACAAAAGTAGTTCAAGTTTAAATTCAGGAAATGTTTTGGAATTGTATTATCATTATGGAACATATCTGTACCTGAACACATCCAGCTAACATCTCATAGAGAATATGAGCACGTTTTTTCATCACTCTCACGTCTACCATGGTAGAATCTGCACACTGACCATTTTGGATTGGATTGATAAATCTATTCCTGAACTCCTTGATGGATCCAAGTAAATTTTCCTTGATAAAGTTAACCATACAATGATCTAAGAAACAAGACATTAATTCATTAACATTAACGAAAGTTTAAAAGACTCAGAAGAATTCTCCTATGTACTGCTCATTCCAAAAGCACATCTCATAGAAGTATTATGAGGGAGGGAAGGAGGCAGGGAGGGAGGGGAAGCTAAGTTTAGGATAAATATTGGTTTTAAGTCTGGTCTCCAACTAGATAAATGAGATGAGAAACTGAAATAAAGATCACCCTTAAACCCTACACTTATTTTTTTTTTTAAAGTTAAGGATATTTTATTCTAAATTACTATTCAGGAGATGTGAAATATGAAACAAGTGTACACAACTCTATTCATGATTTTATGATCACTGAGGGCATATTGGAAAGAAACTATAAATAAACATAATAAAGTCGATAAGCTACTATGCCTAGGTTTATATAGCTAATTCAGACCTCAATTGACCTGCACAATCCTTTAAGTATGCCATCAAATGTCAATACTAAATAGCATCACAATGTGAAATAGCACTTCTGCAAATAGAAAACTAGAACAAAAAAGAAAAATGAATGAAAAACTGAAACAGCCAATTACAATAGGGAAAAGCAGAAGACTATAATGGGAAATTTCAAAGTGTCGAATACTAAATAAATTAATCTTCCTTCTTTAGGGTCACTGCACATATATAAGAAAATTAGGGAAATTCACGAGTCACTTCTCAATTTATTTCAATCATCTTTAGCCTTAACAAATGTAAGCCTGCCATGGATTCAGTAGAGTTCCCCTTTCCTTATTTGTACTTTCCAAAAATATACATGTTTGGCATGCACTTTTTTAATTTTTGTTTTTAAGACAGGGTCTCACCATGTAGCCCTGGCTGGCCTGGAACACACTTATGTAGACCAGGCTGGCCTTAAACTCAGAGAGATCGGTCTGCCTCTGCCTCCTTAGTGCTAGGATTAAAGGCATGTGCCACCAGACTCAACACCTTTTTGATTTCTTAATAGTACCTCCCCCAAACTGGATACTCTGTCCTTATACCTCCTGAGTAAGAACATACATATTTTGTACATTTTAAAGCAATGGTTAAAACTTTTGATACTTTGAAAATATTTTACTTTCCATATTTCTATCTGAACAATCAAAACAGCATGTCTGACTATGGTTTGCCACTCACATTTATGCATGCTTTCACCTGAAAAGCATGTTCTTTCACAGCAGAATAAAATGAACTTACAGAGATCATGCTCATCATGGTAAGGGACTAAAACAAACAGAAGATACGCAAATGGCAAAAGGTGCAAAAACATATCTGAGTCAACAGTAGCATTCTACAGTTAATTACATATATTAACTCACACTCAATTAGGTTATTTTGAAGTGGTGTTCCTGTTAAAATAATCCTCCTCCTTGATCTAATAGAGTTCATGGCTTTTGAAACAGCAGATGCTTCATTTTTTAGAATATGGCCTTCATCACAAACAACAAAATCAGGGCCTATAAAAATGCATACAAAAATGGCAATTAATTAAACCAATAAAACTAAAATGTTATTCATGAAGTAGCTAAGATTAATAATTTTACACTGCTGGTCTTGTAAGAAGATAAATCAACATCAGTATAAGCACAATCATATTTTATGTACTACTGTACTTGGTTGATATGGCACTAATTAGTATTAATTATATCCCAATAGCAGAGTTTTACAGTACTGCTATAAATGGTATTTAAGGTCTATAAAACTTGGCAAGAATAAAGCTTGAAGATTTTACAACAGAAGAAAAAAAAGGAAAAAAAAATACTAGAAGTGATTTCCACAACTAATTTGGGACATTTTATGAAAGAAATAGCTTTCAAAACTAAGATATATTAGAATATCATCTATTATAACATTTGGAATTACAGTATCTTCAAAGATAATATTTTGGCATTGGTAGATTATGATAAAATTACCAGCAAAGACAAAGCAATTTACATATACACAAAAAGACAAATTTTGAATGCTGTAAGAATTAATATAACCAATTATAAGAAGCCATGCAATATTTGCAATTTATTTCAAATTACAGTAATTGCTGAGGAAATTTTTAACTAATAAAGGAAGCTAAACTGGCTGTTACTGAGCAACAACAGGGGGAGAAAAGACCTTTCTTCCAACAGATCATGTCTTCTTAAGTTAAAAAAAAAACACTACTATAAATTAGAAAACTCTACCAGATCACTTTAAGTACATTAACTAATAAAATAGCTTTTCAAACCAATTGGACAGTTAAGGCCAGGCATGGTGGTGTGCACCTTTAATCCCAGTACACTGGAGACAGAAACAGTAGGATCTCTGTGAGACTGAGGCCAGCATGGTCTACATGGCAAGTTCCAGGTCAGCCATGTCTACATAGTAAGACCTGTCTCAAAACAGAAAATCAACAACAACAACAAAAAAACCAATTGGGAGAGTAAGAAAAAGGTCAAGTAAAGGTATTATTATACAGTATTATATCTGCTTCTTTTTCAGTATGTTACAATGACACCTACTGGCATTGTTTAAAAAAAATTAAGATCCTCAGGCCTATTGGGGTAAGTCTACAGAGCAGCTCTCCGCGCTGGGACTCCCTAAGCCACATTCACCCTTCCATCGCCCCCCCTCACCGTTCTATACTCCTAGTTTGAGCCCTGCGCCACTCCTAGTCTTGGGGCCCCAGACACCTGGGGAACCAATACTGCTTCCTGACCCTTCTCACCCAGAGCAACCCAGTCCCTTTCTAG